GTAGAGCTTGACGAGCTCTATCGTATCATGTAAAAATATCAAAGAAATGACTTCCTGAATTACTCGCACCTTGCATTTGTTGATGTGTTCCTAAAAAATGATCTCAATCTCCATACTTTTAACGTTGAAAGACATTTTAATTGGTATCTCAGACCGTTTTCGACGACGTTCCGTCTAACTAGACTACAAAAATAAAATAAAAAATTTTTTTCCACAAAAGTGGTAGAAACTCCACGGATTTACCCATAAATCACTTTCAGACTCGATTCCATCATTAAGATCAAATCAACAACCAGCATTATCATTACCTGTCAAAAAACGTTCACATGAACCTCCACCATTACCAGTACTAATGATTCCAAAACGTGTTCAACGTACACAATCCTCAAAATCATTTCAAGTGAAAAAAAATTATCAACATCATCATTATCATAATCCAGCACAATTAAGAGCTCAACAAAAACGAACAGTAAATAAAGATAGATCATCATCATCATCATCAGAAAACCAAGGAGAAGAAGTCGAACACCAATTATTACTAATATTACTAATGCAGATTTAGTTGTATGTACATGGAGCAAAGAAAAAATGCAAAGAATGTTTTATAAATTTCAATTTCCTTTTACGATTTTCACTCTTATTATATATTAATAGTATATTCTAAATATTGTTTTTATTTCAGATAGTAGTTCTGAATACCGTTATTGTTATACCGATAATGGGAAATAAACTAGACAAAATAGAACCTGGTACTGGCCGCAAGATTTGTCCAGAAGAATTTGGTGTTGAAAACAAAATTGGTTTAGCATATTGTGTTCTACATCATGCTCCAAGTGATATTACATCAGACGAGGTGGAAAAATACTCACATCATGGATTGGCAATAGATATAAATGGTAGTCAAAAGAATTTATAAATGTCTCTATCTCATCCTATCTTTGATCATCATAGGTTTATCGAATGACGAGATGTTTCGTGCTGCTCATTTCGATTTATACGTGCGTGGACCAACAGATTACTCAACGTATGTTGAATATAACTATAAAGAACGAAAGTGGACCGACTATGCTCTTGTACAACCAATCGGGCGAATACCTTCATCGGTAATTCAACAGTATGGTATGCCGCATTATTACGCCGAATACGTTGAGTGGATTTTAACTTATCAAGTTCATCGTCCAATGGCAATGATCCGGAATAGTACAACATGGTCGAGTGATTTGAACTGTCAAAACTTCAACAAAGCTGCTATTACTCATTTAGGACTGAATTATCCACCAGATGTTACAGTTTTTACTGATTGCTTTCCAACTTTTTTTTAATACCCATGTTTCTGCTAGCCTAACAAATGCACATACCACAGAAACAACAACATAGGGAACAGCGAAATTTATATGATCCTCATGTTTTTATGAAACTCAGAAGAAAAATGAAACAAATAAATTACTCTAAAGTTTTGTAACATCTGTCTGCTGTAGATCTCCATTATTCTCATAAGATAACATCAACACTTCGAAAGATGTTTGTCCACGAACTGTTAGTAGCAAATGTTGAATTTCAACCAGTTATATGGTGAAGACATCAATCAAAAAGATGAAGCGACCAATTACCAATGAAACAAAATTTGTGATAGAAATGGAAGAAATAAAAAGATAGTATGAATAAAACCAATTCTTAGTCAATCAAAATCAATGACAAGATGTTAATTTATACTTTTTTTCATTCGAGTGATATGTTGTATAAATTATTAAAATGACATAGTCGATTTCGATAACATAAGACAAAAGATAAATATGAAATTGATAAAATGACCATGACAATAGTATGAGAAGTAATTGAAGATTTTCATTGATTTATTTCTATTTTAGACGATTGAATTACGAGAAACCATGTTAAATGAAATGCGAACATTATTAGAAGGATTACTTCAACGTGATGTCGATAAATGACTTGGTTGTACGGGTAGATTGTAAATTATCTATTTGATTAATGATTTATTTCAGAATTGCGAATTTGTTTTTTTTTCTAGAGCTGAAGAAGTCATAGAACATCCATAGTTTAAGAACGTCGAGTGAAAACAAGACTATTTATTGAAATTAACTTCACCATGAATTCTACTACGTGATGAAGTGAATGCAGCTGATGCTTTTGATATTGGAAATTTTAATGAAGATGATACAAAAGAAATTAAAGTAAATAAAAATATTCGAACGAAACAAAAGCAAAATTTATTTTTATTTAATTAGTTAACAGAAGCTGATCAAGAATTGTACAAAAATTTTCCAATTGTTATTTCTGAACGATGATAACAAGAAATAACTGGTAGAAATCAATGAGATATTTGTTTATTTTGAATCGCATGAAAATATATCTTTTGCTCTAGAAAAAGTATTTGATATAGTTAATCAAGAAACAGATAAAATTGAATAGAAACGACGAACCAAATTCAAACAAAATACTATTTATGATGATGAAAAAAACATCTGATTTGATTTTATAAGGACAATTGAAAAAGAATACAGGAACATTTGGATTTTCATGGCAAATACGTTATACGAAATTGTATCCAAATCGACTTGAACTACATTATGAAAAGGGTGATAAAGATCCAGAGGTAAATTATGACAATAATAAAACACTTTTCTTCTTCATAAGTTAATCGTTTCGATAATTAAATAGAAGCTACAGAAACTGTTTCATAGTATAAGAAGTAGAACTAATCTTTTTTATGTATTTATGAGATGGAACCAGACATCAAAAGATCCCTTTTGTTGAACATAAGAAACTGCAAAACAGCAATATGTAACAACCTATAAATAGAGACACGTGTGATTATTATTGCCCGGATACAATTCAAAGTGTTTTTTTATATATCCCATGATTAGGTGGAGGAAAAGGCTGATCTTCATGCATACTTGCTATGTTATACCTTCGCGAATTCTCTTTTGTCCAAATATATATCTGATCTGTTTTTAAAATATGTGTCATTTCTATCAGAAAATCTAATGAAAAAAACAATATAAGTAGAATCGATAGCAGAAATGAACGTATCGATCGTCTTTGTATAACTATTTTTTCGATTAGTATATTCAAATCCAATAAAATTTTCAACTTACTGAAGTATGTCTTTTTTCTTTCGGTATAGTCCAATCGGCTGATCATGTGATCAGAATATAAGAATCTCACTAGGAAATTTTTCAACTCGTATCATTATCATGGAAACTATGGAAAGCTCTAACGATAATACCAACAAGACGATGATAGCAGGTCGAAACTAGTAATCTATTTTATGCAAATAAACAATACCAAACAGATGTTATTGCATTGCACAGAAAAGTTTCCGAATAAATCAACACACTCAATATTGTTTCTCATAGCACATTGAAAAAAGATTTCCCAATTCTAGATTTCATTTATCTAACTACGTTCAGAATAAGTATTAATTGATGAGTGATAAATGAAATTTAATAGTATCATTCTGCAGAAGGTGTAGGCAATAGATCAGTTAATTCAATCATTTTTCACTTTGCTTATGATTCTTTTGAAATGTTCAGTTCGTCTTATTAAATGTTTTCAAAGTAGACACATGAATCATGTCGGTCGATAATAGTAAACGGTGGAATGAACTTGGTAAAGTTATGAAGCATGTCTTGAAGGCATACCTTTTCTTGTTAAATTTTGTTCGTGTTTTTGCTAGCTGCATCTAAGCGATTATGTGCCGTTGTGATGTACTCTTTCATAACGAAGAAATAAAAAAGAAAAAGAGCGTAAAACATGTCCACATGAGTCCGGAATGAAAAGAAAACAGAGGTAGATTTTAAGTTTTTTGCTCCATCGTGTTTTAATAAAAAAAAAAAAAGAGTGAGAGAGTAAAAGATGGCCGAAAATGAAGTAACAAATTATCGCGTATATCGTATACGATGGATTCAATTGTTGATCTATGTTTTGCCGATTCTTGCAAATGCTACACATAGTATGACATTTGTTCCGATTGAATCACAAACATCAATATTTTTTGGTATAACAATAACACAAGTGAATGCTTTAGCTATTGTATTTCAATTTCTTTATGCCATTGATATAATATTATCAATATGGGTATATAGATTTTTATCAATGCGTGTGGAAATGATAGTAGGAAGTATTTTAAATTTAGGTGTTTTCATTCGTCTTCTATCATTGATTTCTCCAACAAGTGGATATCCAGCTTTGATTATTGGTCTAATATTACCAGCAATTGCACAATCAGTCTTTTTGAATATAACAGCATTATTTGCTGCTCAGTAGTTTGCATCGAAACAACGTGATATCGCTTCAGATATTTGTTCAATGCCTAATACATTAGGTAGAATTTAAAATGAAGAAAAAAAAAATTAATTTAATATAAATTGTAGGTTTAGCTATTGGTTCTCTTTTCCCATCATTGATTGTCACAGATGGTTCTTCATCTAATGAATTTTTTATTCTTTTAATGGTCGAAGCTTGTTTTACTGGATTAACAACATTATTAATTATTTTTATACTTCGATCAGAATCACCATCACCACCTTCACCTTCAGAAGAACATCATCTACCAATTACTATCAAAAAAGATCTTCGTAGTCTACTTACTAATCGTCATTATTTAATTCTTCGATTTGGTTTTTCTCTTGGTTTAGCTCTTTTCAATGCAGTAACAACATTAATCTATGAATTAATTCAACCAAATGGATATTCAAGCAATGATGCAGGAATATTTAGTGCAATAATTATCATTGCTGGTCTCCTTAATGCTTTTGTAGTAGGTATCGTCATAGATCGAACACATGCTTATCGTCTTATATTGAAAATTTTATTAGTAGGTGCTTGTTTATTAGGTATCTATTTTATTTTGTTTCTTCAACCAAATAAACTCTATCCATTGGTTGTTTCGTTTAAATGTGCTGTTGAGTGTACATATCCGATTCGTGTTGAATGGTCAACTGGTTTACTAATGTGTACTGACAATGTTCTTAGTGATATATTTACCTTTGTTCTCGGCGATCTTATTAAATTAACTCCTCTTTCAAACTCTGGTATTATCATTACACCTGCTTCTATATTTATTCTTTGTTGTTGTGTGATTGGTACTCTGGTATTATTGATTTACAAAGGATCCTATTTACGACTTGAAGCTGAACGTCAAGTTGCCACTACATCTTCTATTGAACTTAATTTTTAATAAATGTTCTTGTAATAAAAAGATATGACATATTTTAATAGTCATTTTATTATTACCGAAGATTTAGAGATTTCAATATCCGAGCAGATGAACAATATATAAAATGAATACTGGTGATAGATTAGGAATTAATATCATATGAAAATATCAATAATTATTCATATATATTGTTTAAAAGAAAATAGAACAATAATCATTCAACTATTTGAAAATGTTCAAAGAATAAAATTAAAATCATATTCTTCGAATTATTAGTGATATCAAATGTTTGAATATAGTGCTATCAAAAAAAATAATTAATCGGCGATTTCGATCACATTGATCGTCTTTACATAAGTTTTATACTGTGAATATGGTATAATCTGTTGTTATAGTATGATATCATCTTTTCATTTAGAAAATTCTTTCTTACGTCGATGAGTAATGTATGAAGATGTTTTAATAAATTGAACATTTCTTCTTTTTCTTTATTTTCGTTCACTTGATTTCTCTTTTTCTTAAATCTGAACATTTTTTCAACTAACACGAAAGTTAGAAATCATTTTCCTATCTTCCAATCATTTTTGTGAGTCAGCACTTTGTTTTGGTTATTTCTGAAATTCTTATTAGTGTCGAGATAAACATATGTAATATTACAATTGGTCCTTACAACTATACAATAAAAACATGCATGTTAACTATACAAGTGAATTCTGAAATAGCACCTTATACACTTGATTATATTCGTATGATTTTATCTAATGTATCGCCTGAATTAATGCCTGCATTGATCAAACAATATGAAGAAGAACAAGTATTTTCATGTATTTTAATAAACGATTTCATTCATGGAACAATGTGGCCATTATTAAAACGTGCATCATTGGTGTTATGAGATGACATTACAACAACATTCTTATGCCAAAGTCCACTTTTTCAATTAACCATACGATTAAGTGATGCCGGTTCCTATTTGTTTAGTGAAACCGCTACTAATTTTATAGTGATGACCTCTCATCCTATTCGTGTCAATGGTGTGGTGAAGATGATAGTGAATCGAGTGGGTTATGGCTAAGGATGTGTTGTATCATCTAATGTCCGTGCAACTAACACGAATGTAATATTGGCATCATCTGAAAGAAATAAAATGTTAATGAATTAAAGAACTATTTTTTTTTCAGAAGTGAATGCACTGATTGATATCACGGCTATACAGAAATTATTACAAACGTGTGATTATTGTACACTTTTTCTTTGAATGTATTGAATCAAAATATTTGGCAAGTGAAATACAAAAGTTAGTTTTGCCTTAAAGTCGTCCTAAGTAGAGTCTTTCAGGACACAAGTAACCTGCAATAGAAAATATATTGCCAACATGCTTAGAAGATTCCAAGAATAAGAGAAGAGGTGTTGAATCAGATCAAATCATTTATACATATTACAAATGTAAACAGTGATGATCTTGTTGTTTATCTCTCAGTCTCAAGTTAGAATGTCATCAACTGCCTTCGAGTGTATCTAATGTTAATGCGTCTGTATTCAGAAGGTTCTATATTTTACTATCAGAACGCGAAAAGAATGATAAAAGTTCGATTCGGTTCGGTTCGATTCGACCAGCATATTGGTCAATTCGAATGGATTCAATTCGCTTTTTTACAGTCTTTATTCGAATCGATTCGACTCGAAAACGAAAGGATACTATTCGACTCGATTCGATTCGACTATGATGACATTCAATTCGTAATCGATTCGATTCGGCTGAGTCGAATCGAACCGAATCGAATGATTCGCCAATTCGATTCGTTTTCGAGCTCTGTTTACTATCATCTGTGGTTGTTTAAGGTTGTCACATCCGTAGATATCAGTCCGCATACGGACGCTGTCCTTCCAAATATAAAAACCTGATATTCAATTTGCATGATAAAAAACTATTGTCTCCACTGTTACTGTGTTTTGATCAAAGTGATATTTTCCTGTAAAATGAGCTCATGTCGGGATATCACACTAAAAATGAGCCACTACGCAGTCGAATGTTGTTCACAAAGTTTCTTTCAAAAAGCCTTTGACTTTCTCAAAAGTATGCCTCAAATCTTGATGGGCATTACCTATTCTAAGAACAATTTAGATTCTATTAGTCGATTTATTAGGGTTATGTTATACTTCTTTGTTAGTGTATCTAAAAGCTACGTATAACTGCAAAAGCAAGATAAAAGTGCAAAGAAAATATATGGATAAATAAGTGTTAAAAGTTTTAATCAAATGGATAAATAATCAATGAAGTTGACAAATCTTATTTTTCTCCGATGCATTCCTGGCTTGTACCCAACATTGGACAGTTTCCTTTCCATCTTTAAACCAAGGTGTGGGTGTGGGTGGGTATCTGTGCGGGCTCATTCTCAAAAGAGATACTTTTTAATACTACTCTTGTGTCTTTTGTTAATTACAGCTACCTAATGAATTCTATGACTACTTAATGAATTTCTATAACTACTTAATGATTTTCTATAGCTACTAAATGAATTCCTATAGCTACTAATTGATTTCTTATTGCTACCTATGATTCTACAGCTACTTAATGATTTCTTATAGCTACCTAATGATGGGGCGGTTGAGGTGGAGAGAATTCAAATATTCAAAATTTGAATATCTATTGGGTTCCCAATAATATTCGAATATTCATAAAAAAGTTTTTTTAATGACATAGTTTGAGCAGGAAGACGGTCGAAATGAAGAAAATCAAATATTCATAATTTTAATTTTAATTCGGTTTATGAAGTAAACTCCGAATATTGATAATGTTAATCTCTATTGGGTTCCCAAAAATATTCGAATACTCATAATATTTTTGTAAATGATATAATCTGAACAGTGAGGCGGTTGAATGGAGAGAATTCAAATATTCATAATTTTAATTTTAATTTGGTTTTTGATGAAAAATCCAAATATTAAAAATTTGAATAGCTATTGGATTCGTTAAAATATTCGAATATTCATAAAATGAATCTTTTTAATGATATAGTTTGAGTAGGGAGATGGTTGAAGGAAAAAATTCAAATATTTATGATTTGACTTCGTGCTAATGATTAAGTTTCATCATTAGGTTTCTAAAAGAACTCAAATAAAAAACTTCAGTATTCACAATTTGAATTCCCATTGGGTTCATAAAAATATTCATGAATTGAATTATTTTTTAATAGTTTAATTAGAGCAAGAGGTTCGTCAAAAGAATCTAAATATTAATAGCTTCAATGTCTATTTGATTTGTAGAAAAATATTGATTTCTTTAATGTAAATCAGTGAAGAGTTTTATAAAATAAAAATTCATATATTCGTAATTGGAATCCGTATTTGGTTTGTAATAAAGAATTCAAATATGTATAATTTTGTTTGCTACTTGGTTTAAAAAAAATTCGAAAAATGATGACTTTTATGGCATATTGGTTTTTCAAAATATTTCATTTATTCTTCTTCATAATATTATGAGCCATTCAGATATAGATTCTTTGTGAGATTATGAGAGGTATTTTATCTATGCATAGTAGCGAGAAAAGAAAGAGAGCACAATGTTGAGTTGTGAGCCACAGACAAAAAATGCAAGTAGCTTAGAGATCTATTAGCTAGTCAAATAATCGTCAGTATAAAGCTTTTCAATATTTAAGAAATCATATTTATAGCCATGAAAAGGTTATAATAGCTATAAATAATGAAGAAAATATTTCATATCGTTTAAATGGCAATTAGTTTATAAATAGAAATGGTTTTTATAATCATTCACGAGATTTTTAACCGCTGTAGTATGTTAAAATGACTGCGGAGTCTTTTAATCGTCATCCAAACTCCAAATACGTACACCAACTTAAAATAAACGTGGAATGTCTTAATAATCAAAGCAAAACTTGAAGTAGTTGTAGAATGATTAGGTACCTACAGGAAACCATAAAGTGGGTATAGAAAATCATTAAGTAGCTGTAGAAAACCATTAAGTAGCTATTGGAATTCATTAAGTAGCTGTTAGCTTATTTTCAAAAGTATCTCTTTTGAGAAGCTACGTATTGGACTTTTCTTATACCAACTAATTCAAAACCGCATATGATTATTTTTTATTATT